CGGGCGCAGTTGGGGGCGGGAAACGCTTCTCAGGGTTTCCGGGGGGGCAGCAGACCCGTCCTCAGGCTCGTCTCTAAAACCAGACCGCTCCTCCGCAGGTACTACGTGCAGGGGGTGTGTCGGGAGGGCAGCAAGTGCCTCTTCTCGCACGACTTATCGACCAGCAAATCCTCCACCGTCTGCAAGTACTACCAGAAGGGCCAGTGCGCCTATGGAGCTCGGTGCAGGTACAGTCCTGGCTCTTCGGAATAGCGGCTTCAGGGGAACTGGGTGTAGGAATCATGCGCAGGCAGCTTCAAACTCCAGGGAATCAAAGAGCAGGAAAAGATAAGATGACAAGGGGAACGACGTGGTATATTAAAGATGAGCTTTTTCTCCCGGTAGCAGAAGCAGCTTACGGACGCAGCGTTCCAGTGCTGCCCTGTCTTGGCTTCAGCAGTTGTTTTACTCAGTAGAAATGGAACTTTAGGTTGACGTATGGGTGTCATCCAGTTCTTCCTGTAGTAAGGACTATTAAACGCAAAAACCAGAGCCTCCGATGTGCAGCTCCACGTGACACGGCACCTGGCGGCGTGGCTTGCTTTCCGTGCGTCTGAGGTGCCTGGAAGCGGGCTGTGTTCCAGCAGTGCTTTGCTCGGTTCTCGCGATGCAGCCTGTAGCCTTCTTGGGGCAGGTTCTAACACACAATTCTGAGGACTTTCAGTTCAGTCTTACACCAAAGTGGTGTTCTCGCGCTCCCAGGTTTGGTGGGAAAGCTGAACAGCACCACACCTTTTCCTGAAGCCTTCTGGTTAAAACTCCTTGAGGAACCCTCTAGTAAATACTACGCGTTAGTTCCTGTTGTTGCATTCCATCAGAGTAGTGCCACATGGCAGCCCGTGGCTCCTTCGTGGAAAACTGCTGGCGACGGATGAGAAGCCTGTGTTTGTACCTTCACCTGGCGACAGCAGGGCATCTCGTGGCATCGCTCTGATTGCAGTGGCTCAGTTGCATCTCCTGTCCTTTGCTCGGTTCGTGGTACCAGAGCTGGATCAGGAGGGTGAACATGGGTGATTCCTGCAGCTTCTGTTAGCTGCTCCCGGGGAACTGGTAACGGGTAACGATGCTGACGGCCGCGTTGCTCGCAGAGGCCGCGTCACACGCTGACTGGGCTGTAACGATGGCCGCAAAGTGTGTTGCTGGTTTACTCCTGCTGTTTTGCTGGAGTTGAGAGCGCTCGATGGACACGAGCGATTCGCGCCTCTGGCACCTCTGTGGGCACCGAGTGCAGGACCAGAAACGGATATGGGGAGTATATTTTGTTACCATCAAAAAAAATTTAGCGTGCAGGTGTGGCTGTGGCTTTACTGGACCAGCCTCTTGATGGCCCTGATAGCTTCTGCGCTGCTGCTGGGGTGTATTCCATGGCTTTGCTGGATGTTTCGAGTCCTGCACGCAAATGCTGCGTCTCCTGTGCCATGGGAGCATAAAGTGTAAGTGTTGCTGCTTGTAAGGGGAAACCGGGATCACGGAACGTCACTCCTTCCTGCGCAGTGTTTTCTGAGAAATGCCAGCAAGGCCGTTTGTACGAGGGATGAGGAATCTCTCATCTAATATGCACATCAATAATGTTCTTTCCGGGATGCCGGCTGTCTTTGGAGCAGAACATGCAGGTGTGCTTTCAGAGGCACCCGTTTTGTGAGACGGGGACCTTTCAGTCTGGCTTCGAGAGCGGCTGAGCTGGCAACTCAGTCAGCTTGTCAAACCACCCTTTAAAAAACGCAAAACGTAGCTGTTGAGTTTTGTTTTGTTGAAATACTCCTCAGGGGAGCCGTGCCGTGTTTAGCCTTGGTAACGGTCTGTCTTCTTCCTTGCTCAGGTACGATCACGTCAGGCTTCCCGCTCCGGGGGGTGCCACGGCCCCTGCGCCACCACCCCCCCTTCCATCGGCAGCGCTGCACAACCCTCGCCATCCTCCGGAGCACGCGCCGATCACCAGGAGCAAACTGCACGAGCCCGGCAAGCGGGAGAAGAAGACGCTGGTGCTCAGGGACCGAAGTGAGTGGGAGCGGTGCCTGACAGGCGTCGGGTGGCTCTTCTTTCATTGCTTTGGTGGCCTGGCCAGCTGGCTTTTAGCCTGGCATTGCCTTAAGGATGGATTTTGTTGAGGAATTTTTGGTTCTGGTGGTGGTTTGGTTTGGTTTGGGGTTTTTTTGGTTAAATTGCCTCTGCCCCTCAGATAGTTTTGGGCGTTTAAGTGGCTGCTTTGTGCCCCGGTACCTGGCAGGGGCTCTGTGGAGGATTGTGCCAGCCCTTGGGAGCACAAGCATGGAGTCAGCTTTCCACATCTGACGGCGGGGGGAGAGGAGCCGAGCCCCCCGTCGCCTGCACGCCGTTGCCACAGCTTCCCCCGGTGCAACGAGTGGGCCAGTTGCCCTCGTGTGAAACGAGAGGATGTTTTATCCTACTTGCGAACAGAAAACAGCTAAAGAGGCATTGAAATGGGGCTTTTTAGTAGGTGATTTGTAAAAATCCTTGATTTGTGAGCAAAAGGGGCTTAGAGTTGAGATTTTATTGAGAGGAAAACTTTTTTTTAAAAAAAATAACCCCAGTAATCATCAGAAAGAAAGTATATGGAGCTTCTTGTGCGGGCTTTGGGCAGTGTCTCCTGTGGTTCATACGATGTCTCTGTTTCCCGAGATCTGTGTGGCTTGAATGAAGAAAAGCAGAAGCCCGGTGCCACGAGCGACACGGTCTGTTGCAGTGACCAAAGCGAAAATCTGGAAGTGAAGCCCCATTCGTATTTGGAAGCTATTTGCAGCGGGCTGGAAGATCTGGTAGCTGGGAGCTCCTGCGCTGACGGAGAGCAGCTCTGTCCTTACGCTGCGGCGGGAGCATGCCACTTCGGAGAGCGCTGCCTGTACCTCCACGGAGACGTGTGTGAGATATGTGGGTTGCAAGTGCTTCACCCTTTTGACCAGGAGCAGAGGAAGGCTCACGAGATGGTAATAGTGCCATGGAATCAGCGCGGGATCTGGTTTGCCGTTTGCTCTGCAATCCAAAGACGTGTTTGTAGAGGAGCCTCTTGTTCCAAAGAGCTTTTGTGTTATTGCTGGTCTAGCTGTAAACCCATTCCAAGAGCGGTCTGTTCGAGCATCATTGGTAACGATGGGGCAGATGGCCTTTCACAGCAACTTCATCTTTCCCCCCTTTCATCCTTATGGGATGGGCCTGCAGAAATGTCGGCTTAGCTTGTGTGACACCTCAGTGGTGCGTTACGTGCAGTGGGGAAGAGGAACCTTGGGCTGCTGGTGCATTCTGTGAGATCGCCCAGCCACCTCTCCAGGTGTCCCTTCTTGGGGGAGGCGGATTCCAGGGCAGGGTCAGGGAGGGACAGACGGAACAGGGTACAAAGACTTTGGAGCTGACCTGGAAGCAGGACGGCTGGAGGGACCGGGTGAGGAATTGGTTGTGTAAAGACAGGCTTGAGGGGCTGCTCTTTTCTCTGCCTGGCTACCAGATTCAGGTCAGGGCTGGTAAGGAACCAGAGTTCTTAAGGCTGAGGAGGAGGAAGATCAGCTGAATCTTAAGTCTCTCCAGAGTGGAATCCAAGGGGTTAAATATCTCAGTTTTTGCAGAATGTGCTGTTGTAGGAGTTCTCCCAGGAGGTGGTTGATAGCTGGCACAGTGTCTGTCACCGCTGCTGTCAGGTGCTCAGCTCCGGGAGCAGAGGTGTGCGTTGGATGAGAAGGTGCAGCAGTCGGAATGCTGCTATTAACATGGAATTACTTTGTATCTTTTTAAATTATTATAATAATTTACGGTGTTTTGAATTTATTTTACTTGTCAAGTCCTGGGACCTTTGAAAGTCAAGCGGTGGAGCTCAGGAGGTGCAACAGCAGCTCCCCTCGTAGCGCTGCGGAAGCGGGACTTGGTCGCTGCTTGCCGCCGCGGGGATGCGGTGCTGAGAAACGCTGTAGGGAAGAGCCCAGTTCCTCCAGTTCCGGGGGTAAAGCTTAGTGCCTGGTGCATGAGCGTGGCCTTCCTGCGAAGCAGAGTAACACCGTGGTGTGACACCCGTTCCGGCCCTGAGTGAGGTGGCTTTAGGGGCGTCTGGAGCATCTCCTTGTGCAGCAGCACGACAGAGAGAGAGCAAGGGGTACGTGGGGAGCGTTCGGGCCGTTCTGCTTCTGGTGCTCCAGAAGCTGCAGGGAACGCTGAACAGCTGAAATATCTGACTGAATTTGATGTTCTTAGAATGAGGTTATGGGGCTGAAGGGTAGGAAGGATGCTGTTAATCAGCCTCCCTTAGTTGTCCTGTAGTAGGTCCCCTTCCTGGACGTTTGTTGCCCGAGGAGCGGGTGATGTACGGACCGCAGTAACCAGTGCTGTCTCTCCCGTGGCAGATGTGCATGGCGACATTTGAGCATGACATGGAGAAGGCCTTTGCCTTTCAGGCAAGTCAGGACAAGGTGTGCAGCATCTGCATGGAAGTGGTGTACGAGAAACCGTCGGCCTCCGAGAGGAGGTTCGGGATCCTTTCCAACTGCAACCACACGTACTGCTTGTCATGCATCCGGCAGTGGAGGTGTGCCAAGCAGTTCGAGAACCCGATCATAAAGTAAGTTGGGGTTAACCAGAGTCTTTTCTCTGTGCCTGTGTCGGGGACGGGCTCTCCCGTGCGCTTCGACGGTGACAACGGATTATGCGGCTGCCGGCGTGAACGCAGCTGTTAACAAGACCTGAGCTCAGAAAGCCCTGCTCCAAGTGCTGGCAGATTCCAGAACGTTGGAGCACGGCTATGGGAAGAACTACCTCCAAGACCAGTAGGATGCATCGGGGGGGGAATCCTTTGGTTTAGCTACGTGCTGCAGCCCTGTATGGGGAGAGCTCGGCCCTGCGTCACTCGCGTTGCGCTGACGGTGGGGCAGAGTGCGCACGCGTAGGCTCTGCAACAGCTGAGGACTTGTTAACCTGGGTCCTTCTCAGCAGCTGAGCACAAAACCAGCAGCTCCTTTTTGTCTGTGTATGTGCTTAATTGCTGGATTTTCCTCAAAATGATAACTTGCTCAAGCTAAATGTCCCCGTAATCACACATTTATCTGTATCTGAGTAAAGGCCTCCATCTTCTTGTTCTGTACAAGATGTACTTCAGACATGCTGCTCCTCGGATGAGAGAATGTGAAACACCTGATTAGGGCCATTTCCATTTTTGAGCATGTTTGAAAACTCAAGTTACAGACATGCTGAGGGAAAGGTGGGAAGTATTCTCAGCCTTCTGCCACGTTAAGACTTCTCTGCACCAGAGTCGTTACGGGTGTGACTGGAGTGAACGTGACTGGAATGAAGGCTTGTCTGGGGTCAAGCTTCTGCCCACAGTAGGGACTGAGAGGGTTTATTTCCAGAAACAGTGCCCTGGAATCCAGTTTGAGTATGGATGAAATACAGTTTCTCCAAACGTGTGTTCTACATTTCTCCACGATGGTGAGCGTATGGGTCGTTGCAGAGTTAATCTGAAGGAGGGACCTGGCTGAGGTGTAGGAGCACTGCCTGCTGGGAGACAAGGTGTGTGGACGTAGGGGGAGTGGGTAGAAAGCCTTTCCTAGGCTTGTTGAGGTACCTGAAGTTCCCTATGTGGTTCCTGTAGAAATCCACCTCCTCAATCCACCAAGGGAACAACTCATCACTGCTGGTAGAAGTCAGATCGCGTTTCAGAAGGCACAGGCCTTCCCCTCTCCCCTCAGCTGGTTTGCCTTTCTGCAGCATGGGAGCTGCTCCCCCATAGCTACGGCCTCTTTCCGCTTAGCAGGCTTTGCAGACACGGGTCGCCTCCGCGTAGTGCGGAAACACCCGGTAGTTTTGTTGAAGTCTAAAAACAAACACAAGGTAGCGCGAGCCCTGACTGCACCGACCCGGATTGCTTCCACTGACACTAATACCGAGTGTGCACGCGTGCCGTACGAACACGTGAGGGGTGTCTGCTGCTTCCTTGGGAGAAACCATCCCCCTTTTCTTCGGGAGCTGCTGTTTCTGCCTGATTTACTGAGGAGTGTCACTCTCGGAAAGTAGCTGAGCACTGCTGTTTTGTCTTGATCCCTTCAGGTCTTGCCCAGAGTGCCGCGTGATATCCGAATTTGTCATTCCCAGTGCATATTGGGTAGAAGATCAGGAGAAGAAGAACGAGCTGATTGAAGCATTTAAGCAGGGAGTGGGGTAAGTTCCGTAACCACAGAAACTGTTTGCGTCGCCTGTAAGGTGGAGCCGCAGAGACTCAGCCAGTCTGCTAATGCTGGCTTTTACCTGTGCTGCTTAACATCTTTGTC